GATGATAACGGGTTTGCCGGGTGGCGAGGGTTTTTTGCGCGAGCTCGCCGGGGGCTGGGCGGCGACGCGGTTCATGATCCCGGTCGATACAATGTATCGCTTCCCTCGCTGGTCTCGTTTCCAGACGATTTACCGGATTAGGTGCTGGAACGTTTCATCGTTTTTTAAGTGAATTTCTTAGGGCGTGCATACCGACGGTAGCTTTCGGCTATTGGCGTCACGATCGTCGCCTCTTTTCCATAAATCCTCCTCTTTTTCGTTCCGGGCTAGAGAATTACCGTTCCGTAAATGTGAAATTTGCTCGCACGTTTCAACGCAGCTTGCAAATTGGCACGTGCGAACTTGCACGCATAGAGGCGCGCAGGAAATCGTCGTGCTGAGAGGTTATTCGAGAGGTTTGGTGGCCGTCAGCTGTGTCAATGACGACGTCTTCGATGTTCATTTTGTACTTCAGCAAGTTAGATTGATTTAGGTTAATCAGAGTCACCGGAATAGTTCTTATTTTTATTGTATTTATCGTGTTAAATGCATCGTATCCTCAAATAAGAGAAAAACGTTGTCAAAAAGAAGCTATAAATTCTCCCTAAATTTTTCTTCAGCTTGTAAACAAAAATGAAGAATTTGGGAAGAGCCTATTATTATTTGAGAGCTTATTTGAGCCCATTATTCGAGCCTCGCGGCTCATTTTTATAATCGCCGATCGTCAACAATTATAAAAACGAGGCGCGAGCCTCGAATAATCTTATCTTCTCTTCCCAAATTCTCCATTTCTGTTTCCAAGCTTATCGTCGCTTAGGGAGAATTTACTGTATCACGCTATGCGTCAAAATTTTCAATAATTCTACTCGCGAAATTCGTTCGATGTTTTTCACGCTAAATAAAAAAAAATCGTCGCGCGTGTGCGACGCCGCGCCGCGCCGGTAGCGAACGTGTTAACGATGCATTTGTCCTTGCGACTGTAATTTAAATAATAACTGCTGTCACTCGGGATTATTTTATAGTTGTTTTAACAGTCTCGAAACATTGGCATCGATGTAATGGGAGCTACGAAACGGTAACCTGGTATAAAAAGTAGTCGTAGCAATTATTTCTCGAACGCGATCGAACGAACGATCTTCTGGCCTAAATTATACGCCAGAAATGAATTGTCGATCGCGAACGAAGAATCGTATATCGGTGTCACTCGTGCGAGAGGGACCAACGGAACGGCGAACGTTTCAAAGTCGGTCGAGAAACGTACGTAATAATTCGGAGATGCTCGACGGTGTGCGCTCGTTCGGGACTCCTACGTTATAGTTCGTTGTTCGCAGCGGCGATTATACCGTAATTGAATGTCAGGTATGAAGAATTAACCGGTTATTGAAAGGAACGATTTAGTGGCCGTATCTATCGTAGCTGTAATAAGCAATGATATACATACATACATGCATACATACATATCTTACGTATGTACATACATACATACATACATACATACATACCGCAGGTCTTCGCTTCTTCGTTTCTTTCTCGTGCCAGTCGCAACTAAATAAACCACATCGTTCGCCGGGATCTTTCTCGGATTACGTTCGAGCCGAACGCGTAAGCCGTATCGTTAAGAAACAATGTCACAACAACGCCGGCGAATTACTTGAATACAAAGCAGCCGGCCGGCTAACTGGAAAACAATGATACATCGCTCGACTGCTTTATTACTTTAAACTGCCACGCGCGCGCGTGATTTCTAAACGCTCGCTCCGCTCGTAAAACTGAAGGAAACGATATCCATCGTATCGCCGGATCGTTGTTCCGCGGGAAATATCTCGCTGCTCCGTTGTGCAGAGTCACGAGCGTGGTCCAAGCGAAATAAAATACCTCGACGCAATTTTATTGTCGCGCCGCGCCGCGCCGAATCGCGTGCTCTCGTCGACGGTCGAAGAAGAGGACACGAAAATATTTTCACGAATTTCATACGCGTGTTGATCCCAGGAAAAAATAGAATCGGGAATCGAAGCGAGATTCGAGCGGTAAAAGAAAAATTCGGATACGGCTGGGCTTGCTGAGCCGGTTACTGTGCCTTTGGTTTGCTCTCGAGCAAGTTAGTTAACTTTCGATTTATCGACTGAAGAAACATGAAATTATTTAATCCAGAAAGAATACAAGAATTTCACGTGTCTCGTTTGGCAAATGGAAAGTCTATTGTGCGCGAGAAACGAACAAAAGGCGCAGCAATTGGTGCAGCAACCGGTTCCGTCACCCTATATGGCGAAAACGTGAAATACAGTAAATTCTCCCTAATTGACGCTCGGCTTGGAAGCAGAAACGGTCAATTTGGGAGGAGCCTTGCGGCTCGTTTTTATGGTCATTGACAATCGTACCTCCTCTTCCCAAATTCTCCATTTTACAAGCCGAGCGTCGATTAGGAAGCATTTGCTGTCAAATTTTTGGAGACGCTGGCGAATCGCTGAATTTCGAAAGAAAAAAATCAAAACGGCAAGAACTCGTCGCGCGAAGGTCGATATAATAATAATAATTAGTTGTCGCGTTCATTCCGTAGGCCGTGCTCGTTGCGCAAGCGCGCGATTGCGATGCCGCAGGAAAAAATGTGAGCAGGAAAGAAAGCGACACAAGCGGAATTAAAATAAAATCAGATTACGCAACAGCGGCCGGGCGATGTTGGAAAGAAAGTTCGCGGCGCTGTCTGCGAGGTAATCTTGGCGGATGCTCGCGAGAGAGGGGTCGGGTTAAATTTCGAAATTCAGCGAACGAAGCCGAGAGGAAGAGGTGGCCGCGACACAGAGGTTCACGCGTTCGCGGAATACGCTTTGGTCCGCTCGATGAATCACAGTTTGTACCGTTCGGTTTCTCGAAATTCCGCGTTCCCGCGGGGCGCGGCGACGCGAACGGGGCGCGGGGGAACGGGGGGAGAAAAAGGCCGCGGGGCGAAAGGGGGAACGAGGGGGGCAGGGTGAGAGAAGGAACGGTGTGCGTACACGTAGAAACGCGATATATAATATCGGGAGAAGACCTGTTATTCCCGTCGAATCCGGCGTGCGTGTACCCTTTCGGCCGGCGTATTACGTTCGCCCGTGGACGGTAATGGAAGGAGTTTTGCATATTATGCAGGCCGCGTGCGGATTCTCTATGCATAATGAGGCGTGTCGTCGCTGGACTAAGAATAAAGCATTGCGAATGCGCTGTCATCCGATATATTGTATGTGAACGTGGCCTCCTCTTCCTGGCCGCAATTATGCGACCGATTCCGCGGACTGCCGGCCCCCACCATTACACGCTAATTATAGTTTCGATTGGCGCGCTCGCGCGAACACCTTGAGGATCGTCAGCGTCACGACGCCCTCGGCGCAACAGGAATTAACGATCGGCGCTGCGAAACCGTTTCAGCCGGGTCGCATACCAATAAGTTAATTACTGCTATCCGCTAATTGTCGGTTAATACTGTCCTCTTCCCCTCCTCCTCCTCCTCTTCCCTCTCCTTCTTTCTTTTTCTACACGCCGATTCGCGAACTCTTCGACAGCCCGATCGTGCTTCGCACGTTTTTCGACAGCGATACTCGACCGATTTTTCCTTTTCTTTTTTACCGGCGACCGAGAGTACGTGGCTACATTTTTATCGGAGCCGACAGGTTGCACGCGTGGGTATAATGGGCGTTTGTATTGTAATGCCTCGGGCGTTTTCAACGATCGACTATCGCTTCGCGTTTTCTTCGCGGTGCAAAAGTGATACCGGCGAAATCTCGGATTCGCAGTTTCGGATTGGACAGAAAGTTATCGGGATGTTGATATCGTTGTTTTACGAATTGGTAATCCGTGCTTCGTTCGAGGCCACCATTTTATAGCAGTTTGTTAGAAATGCTTGGTACTTTGTCAGACTTTAAGAGAATAATTAAAGACCGATCGGATCTATTTAGAAGAATGTTCGCACCGTGACCCGCAGTTTTATGGTATAATATTCTTCAGAGACGTTCGCAGAACGTTGCGCAGGTCAAACCGGAAGTCATCCTCGACATTCCACGCCGCCGTCGTAATAGGCACGACTACATCCTGTAAATTCCGAAACGAGGGACAGATTGAATTCAACGAATGGCTGATATCGTACGATTGCCAGATGCGTTTTACACGGCAGTCGAATTTGTTTAATCGTCGAAAATAACGACGAAATAGTCTGCTCAGCCCTTTAGTCAAAAATGTTAGTTTCTAGTTAGAAATGTTAGATCATCCAAAAGATGAAGCTTCGAATTAATGAAGTCATTACTAAATAGCTGAAAAATAAATAAACGCAATTGAATTTGGAACTCCACGAAGTGCATAAAATATTCTAGCTTCGCTTAGAAGATAAAAGGCACGCGATGTCCCATATATTTAAAAATACAGTAAATTCTCCCTAATTGGCGCTCAGCTTACACAAAAATGGGCATTTTGATCGAAATTTGAAGGAATAATGGTATCTCCTCTTCCCAAATTGTCCATTTTCGTGGACAATCTGAGCGTCGATCAGGGAGAACGAAAAATGGCAAATTGGTAGAGCAGAGAAGTTAAGGTTTTACAAAAAGACCATGAAGGGCATAATTTAAAGAAAAAGGAAGCAAAATATGGACACGAAGAAATCGCGCACAACGAAATAAAATCGATTAAGCAAAAAAAAAAGAAAAAGAAGAACGACTCGTATTTAAAAGATTTAGGATGTAGCATTGAACTTTCCGACGATTTTTCTCGCGCCTCGCCGATCGGCCGATAGGGATCGGAAGTGTGTCACGGGGGAGAGACGGCGTCCGCCATGCAAATCCCGCTTTAATTACCCATTGTTCGGCGGAGCGTTCCCTCTCCCGTGTCCCGCGGACCGTAGAGAACGAGACAGGCAATACCGTTTTTATTGCCGAACGTTAAGCAGCTCGTAAACTGTCCGCGAACCGATACAGAGGAGGAGGAGAAGGAGAAGGAGGAGGAGGACCGGTAACTCGTTCCGAACGAGCCGCGATAATGCCCCCGCAAATACGTTGTAGCGATTAGTCGCGAACGGATGCAAATCCGCGGCGACGGTAATCGTTTCCCGCTCGATCGGAGCACTGCCGGCATTAAAGTCTCCGCGCGAACGAGTCCGCAGCGCCGCGCGCCGTGGCTCTACGGCCACGATTATCGGTGCTCGGAAGACGACACAACCGCGTGCGGTAAGTTATTCTTTCCTTTCCCCGATTTCATCGACCGTTTCGGATCTCGATCGACTGTCCCCGCTTCTCCCGGCCTGCTTTCCGCAACCGGAAACAACCGGCTGAAATTAATAAAGCAGATATCGGTTCGAAGGAAACTGCTCGTCCATTCCTAGCTACGCGGTTTTTTCGTGTCTTTATGTGTAAATATATATACATATATATCTGTGGAGATTTTTTGTAGACAGCGAAGATACGATAATCCTAGCAGGCGGATGACTTCTGCAATTCTTTTCGCAGCGTTTTCTCGTTGAACGCTGAACCTGAAATTAGCTATTTATGGAAGTTGATTTTTATAAATCCAACGATTGTAAAAAAGAGAGAACACGAAACCGGTCGTTTCAAGTGTCTCGGCAGGTTCAGCGTTAAATGTTTTGCGATGCGAATGATTTCTGGGATTTTGAGGAAATCTGTACGCTTGGAGGAATGCAGAAGAGTGCTGGCTCGTAGACAAATTTCACAGAGTGCACAGAGTTAACGCACCCGCTTCGGCGATGATATATTTCCATTGCGAATAAATTCGGATTTGAATTTTAAAGAGAACCTCTGAAATCCCAACATTTTACAGGACCTTTTGCAATATCTCTTCGTCTTATCGCGAACTACTTTGAGACACAGATCTCGCTCGATAAATTAGAGCGGTAGGTACAGCAATGTCTCCCTAATTGACGCTCAGATTGTCCACAAAAATGGACAATTTAGGAAGAGGAGCCTTGCGACTCGTTTTTATAGTCATCGATTGTCAACGATGGTGCAAAGCCGGAATAATCGTATCTCCTGTTCCCAAATTGTCCATTTTTCTGCACAATCTAAGCGTCGGTTAGGGAGACATTACTGTAGATTAATTAAGAATTCGATAGACTTTCGTCGAAAGTGCAGAACGGTGGTTAAATTTTCGATCAGCAAATCAATGGACGCGTTTAAGAGCCGTGTTTCGTAACGCCGCTGCGCTCTGAATTGCGAAATAAAAATTCAGCGAGCGGACATTCGGCGAACGGCGCGGCGGCAGGATCGGCGCAGAATTCGGACGGTCGAGGAGAAATCCTGCGATTAGGTGGCGCGTTTTCGGTACAAGCATTCCGACAGGGGCAGAGAGCATTGTGTATGCCGTATATGGCCGACGCGTCAGCGAAACGTGTTAACGCACGAATGAAGAGAGCCAGCGGCCACCGGCCGATCTCCCAATACCAAATACATTCTTTCGAAAAAGTCGTATCCCGTAGGGAGCATGGTCGGTTCCAAACGATCGGCGAATTCAAAGGGTTGGTCAAAGGGGACCGAACCGCGAACGATTCCCGATTCGAACGATCGGCGTAAACGATAGGCGCGGTGGCTCGTCCATGATGCTGATCCTCTCTCTCTCTCTCTCCCTCTCTCGGTTCTCTCTCTCTCTCTCTCCCTCTCTCGGTTCTCTCTCTCTCCCTCTCTCTCTCCTGCTCGGTTCTCTCTCCTCATCCCTTTTGGCATGGGACGAGGCGGCGAGGGTGGGGAGGTCACCGTCCTCGGTTTGGTTTTCTCGTCACGATCCCGGCATGTCACTGTCGTGTGTCGTCGACTTCGTGTGCATACTGTCGGCCTCGGCCACTCTCGAGGAAGCTCCCTCGAGCCGATTCGAGATCGGGAGAAGAAATCGTTACACTTCGAGACGAGAATGCATTCGCGGGAGGTCGATCGAGCCTTTATTCCTACGGCCGCATCGATTGCCGAACGATTTTCGCAACCGCCGCCCTGCTTAGAAACGATCGATTTCAGAGCGCGGAGGATCGTTGATCCATCAGGTTGCCGATCCTTACACGAATTTCCAGTTATTAACGATCTTTTCCGTGTCCGAAGCGACGCAGAAATACTGCTAACTCTTATGCTGCGTCGGATTATTTAAGTTCGATTGTCGCGCAAGTGCCTGAAGATTGCGGAAAAGAGTCGCGGAAGTTGCGACTCTCTCGGTCCGGCGTGCGAAAAGAAATATTGTGAGAACGTTTGTTCCATTTTCCTCGACGACGAGGCATTATTTTAAGTCTGTGTGTACGCAAATTTGATCAGTATTATAAAATCGTGGTCAGAACGACTGGCAAAGGGAACCGAATTCTTATTATCGGAACTGAAATCGTAGTTCGATTTAGATTTTTGTAAAGCGATTTGCTCCTGAAGATTGAAATTTTCTATGCAGCAAACGACATTCAGGATTCTCGAAATTAAATGAAATTACAGCCGTGTACAATAATTGTATTTCGACGTGTTTATGCGACAAACACTGAAGTAATCTTGATCGCGCAGTTTTTGATTAACTTTCTCCGCAGCTTTTTATCTCGTCGAGCGCGAGAACGGGTCCATTCCATCATCTTTTCTATATGTATATATAAATATTGACATTATTATTGACCAAGCCTCGGAGACCAATATTTGATCAGTCCTCCTCCATTATTGGCTCGCTGTTTTCTCTCTACGAATGCCCTACCTGGCTAAATCCGCGCAGGTGTCGCGACCCGCTCCGGATCGTCACGCTCCGCGTTTTGTTAGCAAAATATCATCCCCTATTTTTAATCCTCCTATGAGATCCGGCCGTTTTATTGGCGCGGCGATAAAAAAAAACGAGTCGTCGGTAAATACAGGCCGTCGGGAAAAGCGCGTTCGACGGAGAGAATCGGCGTCCCCTTCTGCCGTCGCGACGCTCGATCCCGATTGGACGAAACGTGACTTCCACCCCTGCGAATCGTTCCTCTATGGCGGACGTACGACGACGGCCACGGCGAACATTTTTCCCCGAAGGAAACTTCCGGCGAATATCCATCTGTTAGCCGTATGTATTAGCATGACGTTGGATCGACGAGTGAAACGTATTTCTCGCAATATAATTGTTCACAATGATTTGTTGAAAAATGCGGAATCCGATTGGCGAGTTGTACGTCACGTAAATGACAATTGATCATTTCGAATAAATCTTTTACCATATTTAATTACGGTCAAAAGGATGTTGTGACGAAGATTTCGTTTATTTTGTATGGAAATTCGGGTTCAAGGGAGCAATTGAAAATGCTCGATTAAAAAGGGACCGAGGAAAGAAACAGTGTCTTTTAATTATGCGCTTACGGAGATCAACAAATTTCTGTAACGAAACGAAGCAGATTCGACTGCAATCGACGACTCCGATGCCTCAAATTTTGCAATAAATTTCAAGATTGTGCAACCAAAAGCGACTAATCTGCGTCGAATTATAAAAATAACAGGACCGTATTAATCTAGATATTGCTCCGAATAAATATAACCAGTGATCATTCGCAGAATCATCTTCACGAAATCACTGTTAATCAACAAAAAAATCTGTTTAATCGCTGAATACTTAAACCCTTAAACCCTGAATACACCCCCCGTCGAAGACCGAGTGCTTCGAGCTCGAGAATGGAAAATCGTTGAACTCCGGCTACGATAGAAAATTCGTGTCGGTTCCGCGGCTAAATAATCGTGGCAACGGATTATATCGAAAAATATCCGCGCGTTTAACATTCGGAGGAACGATTTTTTCCGTTCTCGAAGCAGCGATTCCGGCCGATTCGGTGGCGGTAATAAAACGGCGGGCGCGGAGAGGCGCGTCCGGGCGAAATTGTCTGGCGTTCGCCGCGCGATCACGCTCAATTTCGTCCTAACAAAACACACGGGCGCCGGTGGCCGTTCGTCCGCGTGCCCGTCGACAATTGAAAAATAATATCCTCCGGTTTATTTAGCCGTGGCGATCGCTTCTCTCACCCCCCGTGCCGCGGAGGGCGCGCGGCATTGCGGAACGGGAACGCGCGCGGAGAGCTGCGGATAGTCGCGAGGACGCACGGCGGGGGATTAAAAATAATGTTTCGAGCGTGACTGACCAACCCCCGGAGGATTACGGGTCAGCGTAGCACGCCGCGATTGGTCCGGGGGTTGCAACCCCCGAGATTTTATTCGGCCCTCGGCAACTGCGAGCGCGCCGCGTCGAAAAAATTCCTCCCCCTGTTGTTCTTCCCTCCTGCGCCGCTTCCGGAGTTTGCGGACGCTCCTTTCGCCCCTTTGTCCAGTAATGTCTCTAATACGGATGGTCAATTAATCCCTTGCGCTCGAGAATGTCGCGACTCTATGGTCCAGAAGATCCGTAGGAGCGGTTCACCGTACGGTCAAAAATGGTTATTTCACCATAATAAATGTAATATAAATAAATATAACGTATATAAAAATAGATGTAACANTATTTCACCATAATAAATGTAATATAAATAAATATAACGTATATAAAAATAGATGTAACATATACAAAAATAAATATAGTATATACAAATAAATATGATATATACAAACGATAATAATGGTTCGCGCACATTAAAGGCAGAAAATCAACCCGGAAAATCTCCAAGATATCTAGTTCGTTTGATTAACGAAAGGGGTTAACTGAGGAACGACGTTTGCGCGTTATTCCGATACTCGGAAGGGGTGGTTTTTCGCAACGGTCCTCAAGAATATGCAGGGTTACTTTAAAATGCTGTAACTTTGCGAGAAAAAATCGCAGCCGCGTCTCTCTTTTTTTAAATTGGAGAGAAAAGATCAAACTTTATACCTCTGTAAACGGCATCTCCGAGAAAAATTTTGCAAAGTCCGTGCGTTTCTTCGAAGTTGGCAATTCTCGATACGACAAACACGGCCTCGCATTTAAAGAATTACAGTAGCAAGGGTGCATAGAACTTAAAATTGAGAAAAAGTGTCTCAAAGTAGAGGTTTCAAGCTTTAATTTAAAATCAAAGTCATCATTCTACGATAATTATTCGCGGAGTTATCGTCAGTCAAAGTTGGCCAATTTTTATCCAAAATGTTCCTATGCTATAATTCTATGTTACTTACTCAATATACCCCCGCAATCTCGAAATTACTTCAAACACTTGCGTTTCATACGACCCTGAGCAAGTTACGTTAAAAGTAAGTCACTCAGAAATTACTCGAACGAT